TTTTATATCTATATTTAAAAACAGTCATTTGTTATGTGTGGATTTTAGCCATTATTAAGGGCCACTAGCGTCTCCTCTGGTTTAGACCATGATTCTAATGATATAATGTTGAGGCGCTGACTAAAGAGCCTTTTTAATCTGTGGTTCTAAACCAAGAAAGCAACACAACAGAAAGAGACGAACAGAGAAACGATCTTCATTCTCATCACGGTCATCAAAGCTGCAGTCTATCCACAGAAAGCAGTCGGTGATCGAATCATGTTTCTAAAGGCTGCTGCCTCTGATACCAGATTACATCCAGATGAGTCTGACCACTCGGTTTCTAACTGGACGTAAAACTGAGCAGTTTAAACAATAAGGAAACGATTCAAAGGGAAAGTCTTGCATCATCTGTGGAGGGTTTGTATGATTTGACATCAGCAGCTTTGCAGCAAACAGCATAAACTCCAGCGCTGCATTATTACATGAAGCAGATATCTGGGTTAGGGATTTAACGCATTCCTCGTCTGGCTGAGGTGTCTCCCTTTACCCGGGGCAGTATTCAGAGGGGGAAGTGGGCCAATCAGCTCATTAGCATCAGTCTGTTTCCTTGATCAGTCCTGAGGCTGAACGCTCAGTGGGTGAAATGAAGGCTAGCGTCTGATGAGGCTTGATGTAGGAAGAAAAAACCCTTTTTTTCAGCTTTAAGGGAACATGTTCACCATGCAGAGGGAGGCGGAAAGAAGCAGAGCTTTTAAGTACATAAATTAGCCGTCTGCTCTGACTCAGTTCCTCTGAGGAAGGGGACTGAAAACACCGTCTGAATGCGAAAGGCGGGGCGAGAAACAAACTGTCAGGATGCAGCGGTGATCCGTCATCCAGCTGCTTTTGCTCCACTCAATCGGCAATCAGATCAATTGAAGAAGAGCAGCAGATCTCATGTGGAGATTGAATTTAGCTCAGTGATGTTCGTGGAAGCTGTGGGTGTCAGATTGTTCAAAATTACATTTCCTGTGAACTCATGATGCAAAATGCAGAAAGATTTTCACCGATTACTAAACATGGCGAGGTCCCCTTTACAGGAAGTCTTCTGTTCTCCTGTAAAGGGGTTGGGATGATAGTTCCCTTACTTCTTACTAGATCCCTTCCCACTATCATCGCAGCCCCAACCCCTTTACAGGAGAACAGAAGAACTCGCCTGTTCAGCCAGGCCAACTATTCCCTTTAACGACCCCCCTTTCAGAGACATAGACAGGTATGGGACATTGCAGGCTAACAAAGAAGCCAAACAAGAACAAGGCTTTGTTGGGCTGCTGGATAAATCCTGGAACTAAACGCTATTTCTGACATTTTAATTGAAAAAGCTTCCTGGATGGGAAGAGAAACGTCTTCAAAGTTGGAAACAAAGTCCAGTAGATTGTCTCACTTTTCTCCTCAATTTAAGAAAAAATTCACTTATATTCAGAAAAAATGACTAGCATGATTTACATTTTTTGCAGTGTGCCTTCTATAACTCAAAGCAAAATCTCTGGTCTGAGTAAGATTAAAATTTTTGTCCAAATCTGTTGTCATGTTTCCTGGTTATTTAATACATTATGAAGTGTTATTTAAAGAGTTTGTCCTGAGTGATCTCTGAGGAAAGAACCGGAGAGAGAAAGCTTCAGCGCTGCAAAAAACAAAAAACTGAAATCTAGATTAGAGATGTCCCGATCCAGGTTTTTGCACTTCCGATCCGATACCGATATTGTTTTTG